GTGATGGCTGTGTCAGCAGTAACTCATACTATTGTGATATGCATAAAAGCTTGTCTATGAGTGCATGGCTTGGTCTTCACTACAGCTGAGCCTTAAATAGAAAAACCGTAAGTCAGGCTCATGTCAGGAGTAAAGAAATTCAGGAAGTTGACCTCTTTTGCTTCTTATCTCAAAAACAGTGCTTTTATCATTTTTAGACACCAAGGCTCAAACACTGAATACAATTTTAATTTGCTCGAGAGATACTATGACAATCTACCTTCCATGGAATAACAACAAAGAAGCCAAGACTTACCTAGTATTGTTAAGCTACCTTTTCTGATTTAGGCCAATATATTTTCTTTGCTTAACTCTTAGTAAAATCTTAGGTTGTGTGTATGTGTATTTTCAGAGCCAGTTTCCTGTACAGAAATGATTAGTTTTTACATTAGGGATACTATATGTAATACCAATTTTTGTGATAATTTTATTCTCCAACAAACTAATCAAGTTTACCATTTTATAGATGTGGACTATTATAGGTAGTAAGATGCAAGGTTGGGGAATAGATTGGAAATAAATAATTCAGTTTCCAAGAAAGACATTTCTTCTCTGTAATTCATCCTATCATTTAAAAAGTAGGACAGTTGTACTTTCTTAGTAAGCTCACATAATTTTTGTGAAGATAAAATAACTTGTGAGGTCTTTGGAATGTATGAACCACTATACAAATGTGAAAAGGCATCATAGACTTAGAAAATGAATACTCTATTAGAAAGGTACATTGATTTTATGTATAGATTCTCTAACATTTCCAACTTCAGTAATCAATTTTGACACCATAGATTTATATCAATTATTTATAGATTCTAAAATAAATTTTGAATCTAAACTCTGTCTCACCAAATCAATTCTTATCTATACTGGCAATGTGAACTATTTTATGGGAACATAACCTTAGATAATGTTTCATTTGTCAAAAGAAGTGTCAAGATCATTAGAAACAACTTCCTTAGCTTAGAGCTAAAGACATATTTCATGGGGTGAATAGTCTTTTTGCTTGATGTTATTTTATCAAAGTTGACTTTTAGTGGCAACATTATTGGATGGATCAAGTTGCAGTATGCTGTTGACAGCAGTCACATTCAATCTTGTTGTGTTTCTTCAAAAGGAATAAAAAGAAAGACTAACACAGCATAGTTACTATTCTTCAACAACTCTTGGTCATTACAATTGGAAAAAGGTTCATGAAAAAATGATTTTACTACTGGAAAAGTAAAATGCTGCTATGAAGAACTCTTACTTTTGCAGATCTGGTGCTGATACAGGCCAAGTACATCCTCTGTGTGCTTATTGCATAGATTTTTATTATAATTTGTGTAGTCCATATTCTAGGTATCTCCTCATTCTCCTCGATGTCACTTTGTGAGGAAATGTTTCTATAATAAGAATCATTCAACATGAGTGTATGCTCTTTTATTAAAGGAATTGGAAGGTTAAAGAGTCTCACACAACACAATCTTTGTAAATCATACTTTGATAAAGTCTGTAGAGTGGGAATTCTGTCTAAATTTTTGTGAAGGCACTAGCTGGGCATAACGATAACTATGAGTGCAACTCAACTTCATTATGCTCAATACTTAAAATATCTTGGTGTATTGCCCCAAACTTTGGCAAATGTTCTCAGTTTTCTCTATTATGGGAAGGACTAAAATAGTAAAAATGAGTTCTGCCGTTAGACCAGTATCATTTTAATATGCTCCAACAAAAATTGCCTGTTAAAATATAACAGACATTGGAAAAAATTATTCTCACCTTTAAAACGATCTTATTTTTATTAAAAAAGATGTTGTGAAAAAACACTGGCTAACTGAAATATGGAGTTTATTAAATTCAATTTCTTTTCAGTTTAAATGTAAAGATATTCTGCTTAAACATTCTACACAGTAATAATCACTCTGTTATTCAGGGAGAAAAAATGGAAAAGTAGAGGGAACAATTCATTTGGATTAATATTTTACTTTTTCATCTTTTCATTTCATAAGTCCATCCTTGATTCAATGTCTGCAAGAAAAAAATATTTTCACATACATTTAAAAGTTTTTAAAATCTACATTTCAACAATATTTGGTATATTGGTGCCATTGTTTATAATCCATCAATATCAAAGTATATTCACCTAGTAGAGCTATAAGAGTCAGAGACAGAACATTTGGGAATTGAAGAGTCATTATACTTATATTTATACTCTATTTTATTTTGATGAGTGTCAGGTACATGTGAGGATTTACTATATAAGTAAGTTGCATGCAAGTGGAGTTTGGACTTCCAGTGCCTCTCTTTCCCCTTAGAGTGAACCTGAAAACCAGCATGCTGCTGCATGCCCCCATCCCTGGCCCTCTTTCCCTCCCCTAGCAGTGTTCAGAGTCTGTTGATTCCCATCTTTGTGCTAATGTGACCAGTGAGCAGGACCCGCTTAGGAGTGAGAATTTGTGGTATTCAGCTCTTTGTTTCTGTGATAGTTCACTTAGTATGACAGTCTCCAGCTACGTTCATGTTGCTTCAAAGGACATGATTTTGTCCTTGTTTATTTCTGCAAAATATTCATTTTAGAATTCTCCCTTACAAATACTGAATTCTAAATAGACATATGTATATATGCACTCTTGACTTTCCATAAAGTTGTATTTGTCTATTATGATCCAAGTCCATGTGTAATACTTAACTTTTCAGAACTAGTAAATTAGAAGGCGATCCAGTTTTAATTGATTGAAGTTTTATTCTCAGATAAGTGAGAAGCCTGAGGTTTTTATTGGAGGTGAAAAATTTAAAGGCTTTTAAGACCTAGGGCCAAGGATCTTTGGTCTTTTTCATCCTGTTCAGTAGTTTAACAGCGATATTTACATTGAAAAATCAAAAGGAAAGTAGAAGGAGTGTCTCTCGGAATCTCATTCTTCAAAATGGACCTTTTCTATGACTGTTTTTCTGTTCTTTTATTTTTTAAAAAAACAGTTTATTATTGAGAAGAGGGGAAGGAAAAAGGAAGATTCATGGCAGAAAGACCTGCCATGGGCAAGTTTCTCAAAAAGAAAAACCACTATGACTGTTTTTCTGTCACCTTTCCCTCCTCCTTTCTTAAGCAATTGTTTTCCTCTAAAAGCATAATCTTTTTTTTCTTAAATGAAAATGTGTTTTTTCCCATCCAAGAGAAATTGGGTATCTGTCCTTCCCTATTCTGGGAGGAAGGTTTACTTATCTCCTGACATTACTGGTCAGAGTGATTTTTGGCA